GAAATGTGCAAAATTGTATCTGCAGGTAATAGGGTAGTTTATAGAGAAAATAGAAGCAATCTATAGTTGTGAGAATTGATTAGGAATTTCATCAAGATTTCTAGCTATAAGATTAACATACAAAAATTTTTATGTTTCTCTTGCAACCAACATAAACAATGATAGAAATAAGGAAAAAGACACTATTCACAAAAGCAATGTAACAGAAGATATAGGTGAATGAGAGAAAGTGTGTTACTAAATCAAAATTCAATTCCAAAGAACTGAAGATGGAGGGAGAGGCAACATTCTTCCATATCCCCACAAAGTTTAAAGAAAATCCTGATCTATACCTGAAGAGTGAGGTGGCAAGAGAAGGCCACAGTTAACAGAGAGTAAGAAAATATAAAAATCTAGAAATATTGAATGTTAGATTTACAAAAGAAATGACAGACTCTAACTCAGAGGACTGTCCAGAATAGCAGGAAAAGAATGGGGAGTCTTGCCCCAGGGCCAGAAAAGGAAGACATGAAGATTATAGGAACTAACAACAAAACCTAAGCAAACAAAAAACCTGAGAGCTGATTTGTGTTGCTTTGTGAGGCAGCTGTTTGGTTTGCCACTGGCTGAGCCTCCTCCAGGGATGGGACCATGAATGGAACCATTCCTTGAAGAGAGCCCACTGCCAGAAGAACAGAAAATTCAGAACGGTTAAATCTCTAAGCCCCAGGGATCCCACCACCAATGTGGCAAGCAATGGCCCTGGAAACTACAAAGAACACCAGGACTGAACCGAAGCTGACTCAGACTCAGAGGCAAATATGCTCAGGTAGAACTGTGGGTCATGTGCAGAAAATCAGTCAGCAGTGTCCCCAGCAGGAAAGACAAATTAAGTGTTGCCCCCCATCCCTCGTCTCCACTCCTCAGAGACTAGAACACTGAACACCATATGTAGAAAATGTGATCCCAATCAGAGACAGGGCTTATAGCTAGCAGTGGGGGCAACCTCCAGGGAATACAATCTGGTCTGACCTGTTTTGAGCTACAAAAACTCCTCCTCCCACACACCTATAGAGTCAGCCACAAAACACAGCTTAGAGCTTGGGGAAAAATCACATTCATCCCAGAAGGAAGGTGGATTTGCTGATGACATATTTTTAAAAAGATTTTTATATCTATCAGTGTTTACTGCATGTATGAATTTATGTGCACCACATGTGTGTCTGGGCCCATGGAGGTCAGATACCTTGGAACTGGTGTTATGGATGGTTGTGAGCTGCCACGTGGGTGGGAACAGAACTTGAGTCTTGTGAAAGAATAGCAAGCGCTCGTAGCCACCCCTGACATAATATATTTTATTCTGTTTTATTTCATATGTACTTTTCAGTCTTACTTTTGTCTTTTACTATTGGTTTTGTTTTAGCCTTCATCTGTGGTGATATATTATTTATGATCTAATAAAGCCACTGTAGATCAGAATACAAAGCTAGCCATAGCCATAGAAGCTGGGCAGTAGTGGTGCACACCTTTAATCCCAGGACTCAGGAGACAGAGGCAGATGGATCTCTGTGAGTTCAAGGCTACCCAGGGCTACATGAGAAGTGAATCAGTCTACAAGAGAAACAGAGCTCACACCTTTAATCCCAGCACTAGAGAGGTATATAAAATAGGAGCAGGCATTAAGTATTCAGTCTTTGGCCCTTAGTCTCCAACCACATTGAGAATAGGATCTCCCCAGACTTGGTAGAGGTAAGAGGTCTTTGGCAGCTTGGATGCTTTGCTTCTCTGATTCATTAACTAACAAAGCCCATCAGTGCCATAGATAAATGTATAAACATACAAACAAACAAAAGGTATGCTTCTAAAGTGAAAATTAGAAAAATACCCAGAAGGCTATTAGCAGGGGACAAACAAAATAGCTGTATATAAATTTTGTGATGAAATAAATACAGCACTTAAAATGAGTGGTTGAAGTTCCACATGTATTATGATGGACAGGTCTCAAAGAAATTCTTGAATGGGAAACATTATCTTCCAGGAATACTCATTCCTATGGACAACTGCTAACAAAACAATATTATGTATTTAAGTCTTCCCCTTACTCTGTGAATGTGTGTGTGTGTTCCTAAATATTTTCTTTGTGCTATTGACTGTTTCTTTTATTGCACAGAAAGTTCTTTCTTTGATATAATCGTACTTGTTTTTACTTTTGTTGCCAGTTTTGGGGTCTTATCCCAAAACATACTTACACAAACCTGTGTCTTCAAGTGTTTTCCCTGATTCCTCTTAGACTTTTCATACTTTTGGATTTTTGTACAGCATGAAAGATGGGGACCTAGCACCAGTAATTGGTAAGACAGTTTTCCAATGCATTCTCTTGGTGTCTTTGACAGAAATCATGTGATTTTCTGGGTTCCCTAGTATGTTCTACTTGTCTCCTTATCTTTTCTCAAGCCAATACCAGAAACTTTGTACATGGCCTTAAAAATCAGGTATTAATATGACCCAGTTTTGTTCTTTTTACTTAGTTTCTTTGGCTATTCTGAGCCTTCCATAGTTTCATGTAGATTTTAGGATTTTTTTCTGTTTCTATGAATAATATTGTTGGTAAGGATTGCATTGAATCTGTAAACTGCCTTGGGTAGTATAGACACTTAAATAACAATAATAATTATTATTCTGTGGTGGTTTGAATGAGAATAGTCCTCATAGGCTCATGTATCTGAATCTTTCTTTCACAGTTGTTGAAGGGAGTATGTCACTGAGGTAGCCCAGACTAGACCCAATCTTTCTCTTCTCCCATCTCCCACACCCTTTTACTTCCCCCCTACCCTTCCCCTCTCTCTGCCTCTTGCCTGTGGTCAGATATAAGCTCCCAGCCACTTCTCCAGCACTCTGCCTGCCTGTCTGCTGCCATGCTGATAGTCATAGACTCACTTTTGAAACTGTAGACAAACCCTCAATTAAATGCTTTCTTTGATAAGTTGCTTTGTATACATAGCATCTCTTCACAGGGACAGAAAATTAACTAAGGTGTCTTCTATCCCATGAGCACAGGGTATCTTTCCTTTCCTGGTGTCATCCTGAACTTCTTTCATTAGCATTTCACATTTTTACTGCCAATATCTCTCATTTCCTTAATTCTATTTATTTAGACCTCAAACAATTGAATAGCAAAGAGTCCAACTTAAAAATGGATAAATAAATGGCCTATACAGACATTTCTTTAAAAAGATACAAGGGGATTGCAGAGATGGCTCAGTGGTTAGGAGTGCCTGCCACTCTTGCAGAGGACCTGGGTTCAGTTCCCAGAACCCACATGGCAACTCACAACCACTGGTCATAGCCCTCTCCTTACCTATGTGAGCACCAGACATACATGTGGTATACATATATACATGCAAGCAAAATACTCATACATGTCAAACCAAATAAATACATCTAAAAATTTAAGACACAAATAGCCAGCAAATATATGAACAAAAAGTCAGCATTATTACTCTTCAAGGAAATACAAATAAAAATCACAATTAGATATTATTGCAAAGGAAATGAAAAAAAATCATTGTGTCAAGGATATTGCAGCACTCTCATATTTACTGCAATATTCCTTTAAAAAAATCCAGGATATGACAACAACCATGGAAGAGTGAACATACAGGGAGAACATATGGTATATATCCACAAAGGAGTACTACTTAACCATAAAAAGAATGAAATATTGTCATGTGTCAAGGTAGAGAGAAGTGCAGGTGTTGTGTTAAAACAAATCAGACACAGACAAATACTGCATTTTTGCACTCATTTGTAGAAACTGATAGATGAACTTCAAAGAAGATGGGAAAGGCAGGGAGTGAAGACAGAGGTTAGACAAGAGTCACTGAAATATAGGAATTAGAAGCAGAAATCACTGTGCTGTGCCCAGTATTGTAGGCAACTCTAATCTACAAAAATCCATGTGATATGGCCAGGTGTTAGTGGCCCATGCCTTTAATCCCAGCACTCAGGAGGCAGAGGCAGGTGGATCTCTGTGAGTTTGAGGTCTCCAGAGTGAGTGCCAGGATAGGCTCCAAAGCTACATAGAGAAACCCTGTCTCGAAAAACCAAAAACAAAAAAAAATCCATGATACGTAAAAATAACTAGAAGAGTTGCCATGTGTTTCATACTTATATTAAGTCACCAGGCCCATCATAACAGATTTATGTTAATAAATATATTTTAAAATCAATGTATCATGGGCATAAAAATGTAAGGATTTTTTTCTACAATGAGTAAAGAAAACTTGTTATTAATTTCAGGGACCTTTAATTGTGTGTCATTAAAAAATTTGTTTGTTCTATATAAAAAATCTATACATTAAATAACATAAGTTTACAGTGTTAATTTGAGAAATGGAAATATTGGTGTTTGTGTGCTGGATAGTTTTATGTCAACTTTACACATTCTAGAGTTATCTGAAAGGAAGGAACATCACTTGAGAAAATGCCTCCATAAGATCTGGCTGTAGGGCATTTTCTTGATAATGATTGCTGGGGGAGGGCTCAGTCCATTGTGGGTGGTGCCATCCATCCCTAGGCTGGTGGTTCTGGGTTCAATAAATAAAGCAGGTTTAGCAAGCAATAAGCAGCACCCCTCCATGGTCTCTGCATCAGCTCCTGCCTCCACGTTTCTACCCTGTTTGAATTCCTGTCCTGATTTCCTTCAAAGATGAATAACAATATGAAAGTGTAAGCCAAATAAACCCTTTCCTCTTCAAGTTGCTAGCAATAGTAACCCTAACTGAGACAGTGTGTTACCTTATCCTTTTCCTTTCCCAAGTTTTTGAAATTTCAAAAAGAGATGAGGAAAAGGAGGGAAAGCTCAGACTTTAGGAGAACTTTCAGATGAAAAGGATTCCCAGTAGCAGCTGGGAGAGCAGGAGTCCAGTCTCTCTGATCACTGTTGCAGGGGAAACAATCCAGTTTCCTGTCTTCATGGACTGGAGGAGAGAGGCAGTCCCCACCCTTTCCAGGCCTCTTACCGTGTTCAGCTCTGACTCCAAGCTGCAGTTTCTAATGTGCGGGAACACGTCACTGTACTTGCTTGGGTAGGTAGATGCCAGGTAGTCCTTCACTTCCTCCAGGTTGTTGGCTGTCAGAAAGCCATCTTCAAGGTCGAAAGAATTGGTCAGCAGCAGAATCACCCTGCAGAGCAGACCATCATCTTGACATTCATGACTAAAAGGCCATTGGCTCTAAAACCTGGGAGGAAATGTGGGCAGCCTCTTCCCTCCGCCCTCTGCCCAGGGAGGGAAGTTGACAGGAAGGGCAACTCTGGATGTCTGTGCAGAAGAGATGAGGACAAAAACTCCCTCCCAACAGGCTACTTGACATCTGGATAAGTGGCCTCTGATGAGACTGGGTGGGATGCTGGAAGTATTCAATATTTTATAACCAGATTAGTACCCATTGTTGGTGACAGCACTTGAATGTAGCTAATGCTATTGAGGAACTGCTTAGAAAGAAAGTTAGAATCACTTAAATATACTTACTTATTTTGACACAAGGTCTCAACTATGCCACCTTGGCTGTCTTGGAATTTGTTATGTAGACCAGGCTAGCCTCAAACTTAGAGATTCACTTCCCTCTGCCTCCAGAATGGTGAGATTAAAGGCATGCACCACTACATTTGGCTTAGAATTATTAAACTTAATTTTATATCACAGTGCAAACTAAATGATTTGCATGTATACTGACTTCCTTTCAGTTCAGTTCTGGTTTAGAGATGGCTACTTATGTAAGTGACCTCCCTACTGGACATCTTAGCATCTGCTGCTAAGTGCAATGCCTACCTTAAACTGCCTGTTCCCTGTAAGGCAGGACTTAACTTTTTGGACCGTCAGAGTCTAGTTCTGGTAGAAAGCAGCAATTAGATAGTTGAGGAAAGAGAACTGAACCATACATTGTAGACCTCAATACTGGTGTCTTACGTCTACCCCTTGACTTCTGAGAACCCAGTCCTTCCCAGTCACCCTTCCAGCTCAGAGCTTTGGAGCCTTGCCTTCCCTCTCAAGGCCCAAGGTTCTGAGGGAAAACTTAGACTCACTTGTTTAAGCAGTTTTCATAGTTGAAGGTGGCCTTGAAGCCATAGATGGAGAAGGTCACAATGCTGGCAAATATGGAGGTGGAGCTGTTGATGATGGATACAATGATGGCATGCTTCTGGCAGTTGTTGGAGGGTTCATTGTAGCTGGCAAAAGCAATCAGGCTGCCAAACCCCAAGCCCAGTGAGAAGAAGATCTGCGTGGCTGCATTGATCCAGGCCTTGGGGTTGGCTAGCTGTTCCATCTAGAAGGCCAGTAGGGATAGGGATGAGGAATCCTGGGTTCTAATCCCAAACTCTCCCTCCCAGGGGATGGAGGCTCAGAGATGGAGAAGAAATTACTTCCAACACACAGGCAGTCAGGATGACTTGGGGCTGGAATCTAGGTCCCTGTCCCAGACTGTCTCCAGTGTATTCCCTGGCAGGTAAACTACTCAGCAATCTTCCTCTCATACCCTCTATGGCACCCTACCCATGGAGAGTGCAATTGAATATTGTCTGGTCTAATAGTCCAAAACACATAAAACCTCTAAGTCACCAGCCAGGCAAAGCACTGGTCTTAACGCAGAGAAATTTAGGTGATATGACATGGATGTGGAGTCTATCTAGTCTGAGGTGACTCCAGTACTGGCACTTAAGGCTTATGCAACAAGAGTGTACATTTTAAAGGTAAAGTCATCTGATTCCAGCCACAAGATTTTTTAAAGCAAAGAATATGCCCTACTCCAAATACAATAGCATTCCCACTGAAGAACACTGGTTAGGGTAACTGGAAAGAAAAAGTTAAAGAGGAGATCATGGCAGCCTAGAGGGAAAGGGTATAGATGACTGGAGAGATGTCCATGGTCCCTAGCTCAGTGGAGAGTCTGGACAGGCTTTGGGTGAGAACTGGAGCAGGAAGACCAGAAGGAAGGCACAGGCCTTGGTAATCAGGAGCAGTGAGAGCAGCAGGAGGGGGTGCAGAGAATTTAACTTCCAGAATGTACAGGGCTTGGGATGACCTGTCTGAGGAAGAAGTTCCAGCTTCCAGGATATCCATAGCCTTTAGCCCAGTCTTGGGCTCACACCAGCCCTGCTGATTACAGATCTTACCCCCTTTTGCTTTCCTCCCAGGCATCCCAGAAAGGGACAGTCCCCTTCCCTTGCAGCCCATACCTTAGGTGTAAACATGTACATCAGGCCATTGGTGGCTCCATGGAGTGTAAGGCCACGGACCAGGTAGATAATAAGTACACAGTAAGGCATTGATGCGGTGAAGTAGACCACCTGTGGGCATCCAGGAACACAGTAAGACTGCTGGAGAGGTAGGGATGGCAGGGCAAACAACCATCCCCACAAACACCTTACTTCTTTGGTGTTTAGGCTGTATCCACAGCTGCTGAGAGCTGCAGGTGGCACTGATCCTGAGTAGGACACAGGGTCTGAGTATGGTCTGGAGAAATGCAGGATGGGATGTAGCTGCCATATCTGTTGCCACCATGAACCTTCTTCTTCAGTGAATGAGAGGCAACAGGTACCCAGTTTCTCCTTTCCACACTCCTCCAGCCCCTCTGTCTCTAAGAAAGGCAGGAGGAGCCCACACAATGTGTGAGTCTCTCTGTTCAGTATTTGAGCCAAATTTGACCCTGAGCTTTCTGAGGTCCCAAGAAAAGCAGGAAGACCAATCACTTACAATTTCTATGTTATCTCTGAAGGAAAATTAGCTCAGTGTCTTTTGGGGCAGAACTGGATTTTCAGGATGGGAACTGAGGGAAGCCTGGCTCACATGTCCATAGGCAGAAAGCAGTGCATGGGACAAAGTCCTACAATAAATGCAACAGAAGTACTGATGGGATTTTGTGCATTCTTCATAAATTCTATTTGATTAAGCCAATCTTCTTTCCCTATTGACATGCTTCATAATTTAAGGACATGTTCTTTGTTGCCTTGGCAGGGGAATCTCAGACTCAGGGTCACCCTGACTTCTGAAAAGACTCAAAGTAAGGGCTTTCAGGTGCATGTCTGCCTAGCCTGGGTGGGAAATTTTGGGTAAACCACTTCCTATGTATGCCTGGATAAAGCAAAAAAAATTTTTTTGGGAAGGTTGTTTTTGTTTTATCAATCTTCTTTTAGGTTATATCCACCTCTAAGAAATACAACTAGTGATCCATGTCTTGATATGCTTGAATTAAGCTCAGTCTTCCATTTCCTCCTTGGCATAGCATGATTCTTCATGAATTTCTAAGGCTGTCAGAGGACACTGAGTAGAATGTAGGATATGTGTTTACCATGGCTTCTTACACATTTAGGAGACTAATAAATATACCCAAGAATCTAGTATGTCAAGCCAGATAGAGACACAGATAGATAAGGATCCTTTGACCAGTGATCTGCAAGGAATTCAGGGACATGGGGGAGGGCTGATCCTGGTCCATAACACTGGGCACTTAGAGGACACCCAGGCAAAGCTCTGGAATTTCCCTTCCCCACCCAGTGGACCATGTTTCTTACAGGCTTTCTGGAGTCCTCACAAAATGGCTCCCTTCTTTTTCTTGTGGGAAGGATGGTTGGGCATGTGATCTAGCTTAACCTATCAGGAGAAATAACTTCTGACCAATAAGTAAAAATCCAGAGGAGAATAAAAGAGATTTCGACAGAAAAGGAAAAGGCAACATCTTTCCCTATACATGGAACTGCTGGGGCATTTCTGTCACAGCATCAGCAGAGAAAATAGTGAGGACTGATGTGGTATCATGTCCTGGCTCTACTTAATTCCACAATTATAAAAGGCTTGGAGAGAAAAGGACTTTTTAATATCCAAGGGTATACACAGGGCAGATGCTGCAAGGTCTGAGCTCAGTTGAGAAAGAACACCCTGATTTTTCTGCTCATCTGTGAGGCTAAGATGATGGCCATCATGGGGACTTAGAAACCAATGTAAAATGTCATACCAGGCACAACACTGGGGTTGTCACGCAATATCTTAATGACATAGGTTATTCTAAGCTTGATGCCTCATGAAAAAACAAATAAACACGTCAGTGCTGGAGAAGGCAGTCAGGTGATCAGAAGAGTGAGATCTAAGGGATTCTCAGAAGAAAAGAAACTGGAAGTGACTAAGTTACAAAAGACATTAAGATAACATTTATGGTGCATGTCACCAATAGGATGGGAAGACCTTGGAGTTAATCTGGGCTATGTCCTGATTCTGCTATCCCTGTGATCTTGGGAAGACCAGTTCACCTATCTAAGCCTTTTCAGAGTGTCATCATGTATCTACTCTGAGGGGCTGTTACAAGAATAAGACACTATGGTCAACTATGGGTTTACTTTGCAGAGTAGCTGAGTATGGACCAGTCACCCCAGCTTGAGACAGGTGCAGGTGATGGAAATACAGCAGATATATCAGCCCCAGGAGGAATGGAAACCTGGGCATCCAAAAGGAAAAAAGGACTTAGGCAGATAAAAGGCCTAAGCTGGGTATTGTGACACATGTGTAGCCTATAATCCCAACACTCAGAAGGCTGAGTCAGGAGGATTGCTGTGAGTTTGAGGCCAGTTTGAGCTGTACAGTGAGTTTCAGGCCAGCCTGAACTTATAAGGAGACACTTTCAAAATAAAAGCCAGAACAAAAACTAAAACCCCAAACCACAAAACAATAATTCAAAACAAAAAAACAAACCGAGGAAGAACCCAACCGTTCTGGTTGCCATTAAGTCCCTGAAAGCACTTTGAAATGGGACCCCAATTCCAACTATACAATAAAGTCACCAGAAAGTGGCCCATCTGTCCATGTTGAGGTCCCTCCCCAGAACAATAGCTCTGGCATTTGAGGGGGAAGGACTAAATAAGCAGATGTTTGAAGATCTCCAAGAAATGCCCTGGTATGGCTAGGGCTTCTCATTTCAGATTCTGTGTCACAACTTTAACCACTTCTGACAGCCTTCACTGTCAACTAGCAGAGGGAATGCCAATAACACCAGCCATGCTTTCTGACCCACTGAGCCTTGACTCTAGACTGCAAGAGACAGCCCCTGGCATCGACCAAGGCCAGGGCTGAGGTGCTACTCATCCACCCACCCATTTGCAGCCCCATCACACTCCACAGCCCACCTTGCCAGTTGACTCGGTGCCTCTCAGGATGCACAGGTACACCACCAGCCAGGCCAGGGTGAGGCACAGGGCTGGCTCCCACTGCACCCCTCCATTCTCCTGGATAGATGGTGAGATGTTGAGTGTTTTCCTGTACCAGAAGTACTGTGTTGATGAAGCCTTTTCACACTCCTCATCATAGCCTGTGCGGTTACCATTCAGTGGGCAGACAGACCATGGCAGGGGATCCTTTGGAATGAGAACCAATGGTGACGTAAGGGAAATGGGTGATAGGAAGTGGCTTTGACAGGAGGCTTTACACCATGTCCTGTACATACTGGCTAGCCTGACTTGCTTGAAGCAACAGAGTACAGAGTAAGGCTTCCTGGCCTTAACTTTCCAGATCCTTGTAGCTACCTTTTGTCCCTGTTCAAAACCAGTTGTAGGGCTAGAGAGATGGCTCACTAGTTCAGAGTAGTGGGTGTTCTTCCAGAAGACCCAGGTTAGAGTCCTAACACCCAGATGATGGCTCACAACCATGTGTAACTCCAGTCCTGGGGGATTTGACATCCTCTCCCAGGCTCTGTAGACACAAGGCATGCACGTGGTACACAGATATGCAGGCAGAACACCCATACACATAAAATAAATAAGATAAAATTTAAAAACAGGCAAAACCCCCCCCCAAAATCTGTGAAGGTACTTGAATTAGAATCTTGGAACAGTGAGTCCATTTGGATGGAGAGGCCACAGGAGGAAGGCATTGGTGCCTGATGAAATCCAGCAGCAGGTCCCAGCCAAGAAAGAGAAGTCCTCTAAGTTCAGTTGCCTTGCCTAGCCAACATTCTCTGGACCCTCTGTTGAGGTCACTCTAACTCACTCTGTTTCACATATTTGGCTGCAAATCTGAGGATATCTTGGCTGTACCCAGGACCTCTGGGATCTTTTGCTTGAGATGAGCTGGACATCAGTTTTTTAAATGTCCCTGCCAACGTACATGCTGTATGAAGAAGCTCTAGGACATGTAAGAACTGGTGCAATGGAACAACTGAGAAATTTTCAGTTCTCTTCTCCCTTCATCTGCATCAGAAGGTAAAGATAGAGTCTGTACTGAGAGATCTACCAGACGCACCTGTGGTGATGACCAAGCCCAAACGGCTATACCACAGCACAGCAGGTACATCTGGTAGATCTCTCACTACAAGGGTCCCTGCATTTGCTTGGCTAAAGGCACCTGCTGAGAAGAACCCCTACCCCCACCCCATGAAGGAGACTCCTGTAGAGTCACTTGTGGCTTGTGGAATTGGACAAAAGCTCTCATGTGGTGTGTATGACCATGCCAGGGTAGAGTTACATGTTCCAGGGACATGCCTGGCCCATAGAAGTGAAAGTGAAGGTCTGCTTGTCATTATCCTGTGACCTTGGAAGAGGATTTAATGCAGGGGTAAGGGGAAGTCCATCAATCTGTGAAGAGTGGAATGCATGAATATTAAAGTGGTACTTCGTAGGTCCTTCTCCTCTTTTTCCACCTGTAAAGAGGCTGAGATGGAGGCAGCTGCTAGAAGGGGAGTGGAGGCAGTGGGATTAGAGTTTCTGAGAGGGAAAAGGCTGAAGATGGTGGTGGAAAGAAGATTCCTTAGCTTTGCACCAAAACCAGCTCTCAGTGTGGAATTGTGGTTCTTCCATTTATTTTCCACAATACCTAGACCCTTCCAGAATATCAGTAACAAGAATTTGGGCAATGCGCTGTTTAAAATGTATGCCATTGAAAATAGCTCCTATAGTGTTAAAGAGTGGCATTGCTCCTTCTAGGTGAACTTTTGGGATTTCAGGATCAGCCTAGAGCCAGAAATATGTCAATGGCAAGTGGGAAGAGGTAGAAACAGGATGGGAGGAGAAATAACCATTTCAGACTTGCTTGTAAGTCCTTGCCACAAATTTTTCCTGAGTCTGTCATGAGATGGTTTGTAATATTTGCAGGGCACTTCCTGTAGATATGAATGCTATGGACCTTGTGGACCTGCTCCTCAAAAATGTGCAGAGAGAAAGAGAGAGAGAGAGAGAGAGAGAGAGAGAGAGAGAGAGAGAGAGAGCTACATTGCATGGTTTACATTGTGACAAGTAGTGGATCCAGATTCTGATGTCCCCACTTGCCTTGAGATGTGTGACTTCCCTCACCCTCTCCCCTCACTGAGGCTGGTGTTCTCTTTCTCCACCAGCTCCCCACTTGGTGAGTGGCCCTGCATCTTCTACCCTTTTTGCTTTTGCTCTGGCCAGAGGTTGGCTCACCTGGAAGGAGTGAAAGAGGTACCAGAAGCCCCAGGCATTGATGACGTTGTAGTACATGGAGAGGAAGAAGGAGACGACCACACTAGCAACACCTGTGAGCAAGCAGAGGGCCACTCTGAGGATCAGATGGTTGTGATTCAACCAGTGGCACTTGAATGACAGAACTATGGTGACATCCCAGAGCAGGAACACCTTTCCATCAGGTTTTCTTTCTTTTTTTCTTTTTTCTTTTGGTTTTTCGAGACAGGGTCTCTCTTTGGCTTTGGAGCCTGTCCTGGAACTAGCTCTTGTAGACCAGGCTGGTCTCGAACTCACAGAGATCCACCTGCCTCTACCTCCCGAATGCTGGGATTAAAGGCATGCACCACCAACGCCTGGATCAGGTTTTCATTAGACCTGATACCATACCTATGACCTCTTCCTGGGGGTTATTCCCCCAACCTCTGATCATCTGAGATGGGAGACTAATGATAGTTTTTGACATCTAAGAGTCAGGTCCTGGGCTCAGTATTTCATGTGCCATTAGTTCTCACAACAGTATTGTCCTCCTTTAAAAGAGCAAACTGAAGCTCAGAGCTTGCCCAAAACTACCCAGGGGAGCTATGGAGAAGTGCCAATCACATGCTTAATATGACACTTGCTCCTTTTGGAGGTTGCGTTACTGGAACCAACCCCATCCATGTGGCTGGGTGTGAGATGTGAATCAGACAGACAACCCTACCTCCAGACTGGTCTGGCCTATGAGGTCCAACAGTAGCACTGTGTAAAAGGGCGAGTTTGCCATCAGGTTGCTCTAAAAGAATACTCACACTGGCCCTCGGGGGTACTGCCAACCATTGTCATTCCACATGCAACCAGCAGAGCTGTGAGTTGTTGACCTTGGGTGTGGTGGACTATACCAGTATCAATATCATTACAGAGCAGCTCTTTCCACACCACTGGGAATTCATTCCAGTAAGTGGGTGTCAGTGCCCAAGAGGCCAGGCAGCCTCCCCTGTCTTTCCAATGTACAGTGTACATTGCTGCCTCAGCACACTCTGACAGCCTTCAGAGCTCTTCACAGTGAGGAGGCAGTTTGAAGATGACTCCTAATGGCCCTGGCACATTTTTTCTAAAGATGCACCAGGTCACATAAAATTGACCCTTCTTCATTTCTGAACAATGGCTCACCCTTCCTGACTGCTCCCCTTTCTCGTGCATGAAAGCTGCATAGAACATGTATGGTCACTGATGGCCCTGAATCCTGTACTTTTACAAAGCAGGAGAATCACATCCTTGAGGTGCCAGGGGACAATGACTGAAGTCACTCTGGAAGGGTGCAGTGGGCCACACCTGGTCTGCATGGACACCTTGGCTTCTGCACACAGGCATCACTATGGTGTCCCAGAGCCCCTAAGTGGTGTGGTGAAGATGAGACGACCTCACACACTTGCATGCCATGGTCAGCATCAGGCACACGTTAAGCAGGGGGCAGTTGTGTACATCCCCAGAGGGTAGGTGGCTGGGACTGAATGAATGCTTCTGTGCCAGGAGGCTATGACCAGCCATTCACAGAATCTCAAGCTGAGGTCCAGAGTGGTGATGCCCTGAGGTGGGAGTTTCCCTGGGGGGTGGGGCTACACATGAGGTGACGAATCCAGGGCCCTCTCTGCCCAAGTTCCATGGTAGCCCTCCCTGGACTGTCAGTTCACCCAGTTCACCCAGGTCCTGCTCATGGACAGCCACCTGCACACCTGTAATGCCCAGGAACACACAAGTCTCTGTCAGAGGCACTGAAAAGGATCTCACATACCGACACCACTGAGGTAGGGGCTGATGGTCCTCCAGGCACCGATGCTGCCCTGACGCATGCGTTGCCCCACGGCCAGCTCCAGGTACAAGAGTGGCATCCCCTCTACAATGAGCATGATGACATAGGGGACCAGGAAACTCCCTGTGGGAGGCCAGAGCTGAGCATCAGGTCAGTGTGGAGAGATGGGTTTACCCTGCCTTGCCTCTATGCGACTGTGCTTCTTTCCCCTGCCTTTCCCCAACCAGTCCCTCCTTCCACCCCATCCTTCCACCCTCAGACCTTTCCCCCGAGCTGCCATTTTCTGCCCATGTTTCTTCCTCCTTCTACAGTTTCTCTCACCATACATCAGCTCACTCATCTATCTGACCATCCATATATCCATCTTTCTTTTCTCCCTTCTGTCCCTATCTATTTATAGTAAAGGCTATGTCCCTACAAGCTGTATGGAGTGGTAGTCCATGCCTCATAGGTTATAAAATAATCTCTCTCTCTCTCTCTCTCTCTCTCTCTCTCTCTCTCTCTCTCTCCCTCTCTCCCAAAGTGTCAAACAGTAACCACAGCAGGCCTAGTGAGTCCCATGGTCAGCTTTTCTCTGTGACAAGGCCTACTTACTTGACTACTGTTTGGGGTCAGGTGGAAACCCAAGGCCTGGTGCCAAGTAGGAATGTGAACATTTTTAGCAATGCCCAGTAAGCATTTGCATCACTTTCCCAACCCCTAAAACAATTGAAAATGTATGTACAGATAAATTAAATGTATTCATATTACAAGTTTTACATAAAACTATGAAAATAGACCATAGCCCTATATTTACTATCTAGAGATTAAAATTTAAAGAAGCAACAGGGAAAATCTTTAAAACTTCAGATTAGGCAAAGATGTCTTAGACACAAAAGCAAAAGCACAATCTATGGAAGAAAATGTTGATAAATTGAGCAATAGTACATTTCCCCCTCGAATAGCACTTAACAGAACAAAAGGAACAACTGCATCATATATATGTCTTAGTGCACTATGTTGCATCTCAGAATAAATGAGATCGGGTCTGTTATAAAGAATGGAGGCCGGGCGTTGGTGGCACAGGCCGGGCATTGGTGGCACACGCCTTTAATCCCAGCACTCAGGAGGCAGAGGCAGGCGGATCTCTGTGAGTTTGAGGCCAGCCTGGTCTCCAGAGTGAGTGCCAGGATAGGTTCCAAAGCTACACAGAGAAACCCTGTCTCGAAAAACAAAAAACAAACAACAACAAAAACAACAAAAAGAATGGAAATGCACTGGCTCCTGGGTCTGGAGGAGGCGCCATGCAGAGCACACTGACAGCTTTTGACTGAGTCCTTTCTTACTGAAGACAAGAGCAGTAGAGGGCAAGAGTGAGAAAAGGCAAGAGTGAGATGGGAACTCCATTTTTAAAACCAACTTCACTTCTGTGATTACCACAATCTATCCTCGAGGCCAAAACCCTCATAACGGAATCACTTTTGACATACCCTTCCTCTAAACATTATGGAGTGGGGACCAAATTTCTAAGACATGAGCAGAACAGTATCTGTAAGTAGTAGTCTCATCAAAAGATACTTAAAACTGGAACTCATTAGGAAAGTGTACATTTATACAACAATGAGATAAGAGAAATGTGCTGTATATTAATATAAAAATATTTTGCAATTAGTTTGAAAACAAGTCTCCTAACCAACCCTCTTCCAACTGAACTACTCCCATGCCTCTTTGATTTAAAAAATTCTAATGTACAAGGAGACCTTGACATCAGAGGGAAAGGGCCAGCAAGGAGCATACTTGGTGAATTAAATATAGTCACTACTCTTCAGTGATTCTCGTACAAAAAGGGAATTCTGCCCCCTACCCTATGAGTCTGGTCTGGCCTTGGGAAGAGCTTTGTTCATCAGGATGTGGGAGGAAACTTGATGGCATGTGTATTCCCGAGGCTTGCAGCGTTTTCATCCTCAAGGAGTACAGCCAGGGAACATCATGTATGGAACCCTTCTAGGCTCCCCAGGATGCGGAGCTACATGTTGGACAATTTGGGTGTGTAGGGCCTGTAGCCACATGAGCGGGGCCAGATGAAGCTGCCAAGCCTCTGTTAGGTACCCACAGAGCTGTATGAGGTGATTTTTGTTGCTGTAAACCATTACTTTCCTCTCTTCTCAGTACTTCCACTTGGGTTCCATAAAAGCAAAGTTCTCTGAAAGACTCCCAATGCAGAAACAAAACAAAACAAAACAAGACGTTTGCTATACAGAGCTATTGAAATTTTACCAGTTTCCCAGAGTAGGATTCAGCATACAGTCAGATCTTCAGTTCTGGTCTTAATGTTTCCTCAAGGGTGTTTTTTTGGTTTGTTTGTATTTTGTTTTGTTTTCCACTTTAGAAGTTTACCAGCAAGTTGTTTTGTGGAATGTCTCTCTCTCCTTTGAGGTTCTGGCAGAAACACTAAAGTGACCTGCTTTCCTCTTCCAGAGGGACAAGATGTCCATTTGCCCCTTCTTGGCAATGTCGACTTTGCTCACATGGCTTAGGTGGTGTCTGCTAGATTTCTCTGCTAAAACTTAACTCTTTCCTTTGAAGCAATAAAGTAATTTGGAGGGGATGCTTTTTGTTTGTTTGTTTGTTTAGAACATGGTCTCATTTATATGGCTATGGCTGGCAATCTTCCTGCCTCAGCCTCCCAAATGCTGCATTGCAGGCATGCATTAGATTTGGAGAATTTGATCCCTTTTCTATTGTGTGGTCATTTTACACGAACCAATAATTCTTACCTAATCCAGTGACAGCTGCATGTATCAGCCTGTAACATGCTCTATCATTTTCAACGTTGTCATTTTCAGCTGTTGTCATGCACAATTGGTAAGCAGAGCATACATGAGCATTGTTTGGTAGCACCCCTGCCACCTGTGTGTCCTGTTAGCTCGGGTGGATGGAACACTCAGTCAAAGGGTGGCTGGGAGGAAGTGGCATGGTTATTATTTCTTAGGTTCCCTGAAACCTGCCAATGTGTCTCTACCTGCATTGCACACACACCATTACATCTCCACACTGGTCTTGGGGCTCCCAGTTTGTAAGTGTTTCCCCGGCTCTGTCAGAGACCGTGGCACTCTGCCTACTTTAGCCCTCAGTCTCTGACCTGGTCAAACCCTCTTTTCTTGCTCCTTCCACTTGAGATAAAATTTACACTCCCTCCTTGATCTCCAAGGACTTCTTTCCCTCTGTGGCCACTGTTCCCTGTCAAGGAGCCCTTGGCACCTTCACTTCTGTCTCCCCCTGTCCATTTCATTTTCTGCACACATTTGGCTTCCTTAGAGGCTTCCCTCTCTGCCCTCTAATCTGTATGACTTTTTGAAGAATAAGCTATGTGAAAATGCAGTAACCGCCATTTTCTCCTGGTAACTGTCTCTTACCATTGAGGAAGCTTTTGCCCCTTACTCAGCTCTGCATGGCACTGGGCAAAGCTGGAGCCCACGGTGACTGCAGGTTAGTATCTTTCAGGAATTACTGGACCTTTTACACATACCCTCACCACCCTTCAACTTCAAATACTAAGGTGGAGTCTTCGTCATCTTTGGTCTGATGGTTCCTGCTCTTGAGGCAATTGCTACCACCACACTTGTAAGTCACTCACTGAGGACAGAGGAAGACTATCTGGCTCACCACTGCCCTTTAGTTCTGTCAAGGAGCAGGCCCTCCACAAACTGTTGGTAATAATGGTTCTACAGTAATGGTTCTATTTAGGAGGGTAGGTGATAGAGATCTTACTGGAGGATAATGATGGAAATGTTTTGAAAGTCACTCATGTTGCTAAGAACAAAGTATCTAAAAATTCACACAGGGCCCAGTAAGATGGTTTAGCAGGTGTGGGTGCTCTCCACCAAGCTTGATGATCATAGTTTGATTCCTGGGACACACATGTGGGAGGGGAGAACTGACTCTCAAAAGTTGTCCTCTGACTGCTACACAAACAAAATAGATTTTTAAAAAGCAGCCTAATTGTCTCGAAAAACCAAATAAATAAATAAATAAATAAATAAATAAATAAATAAAATAAAAAGCAGCCTAAGTATACAAACAGAACTATTTTAACTTCTTTGACTTTACTTGTGTGTGCATTAGATAAGACAGGGGAAAGTCTATCCATAAAGATGGGCAATGATAAGTATTCTTTGAACTTATGATAAGACACTGTAGATCAAAACGCACGCGTGTGCACACACACACACACACACAAAAAAAAAAACCACACACACACACACACACAAAAAAAAAAACCACACACACACACACACAACAACAACAACAACAACAAATGTAGAGTATTAGAACAAATGTCTTCCTCTGAAATAGACTTGCTGTGGGCAAGAGAAGATGCAGAGAGGAATTGTGTTTGTCCATCAAGCAATGATGATAAACAGTGCAAAAGAAAACATGTTTCTGAAAGATGAAAAAATATAATTGTTGAATTTAAAGCCCAGTGGAGCAAATAGTACAGCATAGTCACAATGATAAGTTCAGCTCACAGAAAAATAATCAAGAGGTGGACATCATAAGAACAGACAGAAGGCATGGCCAGCAAGCTTAAGCCCTTACACTATCTAGAACTGAGGGGGATAGAACACCACAGACACAACAGTTGGAACATGTGCAATAGTGAGATTTGTAAGACAATTTCGGATAGCGTAGTTGAGATTATTGAGCATCACATATATTTCTGTGATACTTTAAGTGCCTAGAGTACCTAAGAATTAATAAAATTAGTCACAGAATTCTCCTTCACAGAATTAAATATCTGAAAACAATAGAAAAAATCTACAAATTTTGAGCATAGGAAATTGCAACCCATTCATGGTGCTACAAAGCAAAGATAGTCTCAGAAATTAAGTCTTTTATTTTCTGTTCCTGAAAGAATTACTTGTTGATGAGCTGCAGCGTGGGATCAGAAGAAAGAACTCAAGTATGGAGTTGTGTTATAAAATAAGTAATCAATAGTAAATAAATAAGCAAAACAATGAAGGGTAAAAATAATGCTGTTGGTTTCACTGGAAGAAGTACTGTAAAAGAGAAAAGGAATCCATGAATAGGGAAACATGATATTAATAGTAAAATAATCATTGTCACATATATGAAACCCCAGA